AAGAGTTCAATTTTAGTCACATCAGACCAGAGAATTTTGTTTCGTATGGTCTGAGAGTCTTTCAGATGCCTTTTGGCAAATTCCAGGCGGGGAGTGGCTTCTGTCTGGTCACTCTACCATACAGGCCTGATTGGTCACTCCAATCTGGGTCACGGCACCAATGTGATCTACACCACCCAACCGACTCCAAGCTGGGATTGAACCGGCGACTTTCTTACTTTTCCGGCCTATGCTACACACATAAAACAAAAATAACAACAGTTTCTTCTGCTTGGTGTTAGCAAAGGGTGTGCATTTATGAGCACTGATGTCTGCTAATTTCTATTTGAAACAAAGCACAATACAAAAACACATTTTCCTGGACTTGAACAAGTGGATGAATCAGGAACCTTGCTGTCAAAAAAAGATGAAGGAGCTCTTATATTTTATCAAAAATATCTTCACTTGGTTATAAACATTATAGTTTTAATGACTCATTTCTAATAGCTTATTTATTTTATCTTTGCCATGATGACAGTAAATAATATTTTACTAGATAATTTTCAAGACACTTCTATACAGCTTAAAGTGGAATTTAAAGGCTTAACTAGGTTCATTAAGTGAACTACGCAGGTTAGGGTAATTAAGCAAGTCATTGTATAACGATGTTTTTTTCTGTGGTCTATCGAAGAAAAAAAAATAGCTTAAAGGGATTAATAATTTTGCCCTTAAAATGGCTTTTAAAAAATTAAAAACTGCTTTTATTCTAGCCTAAATAAAACAAATAAGACTTTCTCCAGAAGAAAAAATATTATCAGACATACTGTGAAAATTTCCTTGCTCTGTTAAACATCATTTGGGAAATATATATTTTTTTACATAAATAAATACTAGGGAGGGGGGGCTAATAATTCTGAATAATTCTAATTCTAACTGTATATGTTGTTTTTTTTAGGAAAATCAGAAATTGTCATGAATACTGGTTACCCCTGATTGGGAATCAGTGTGTTTCGATTTTGAATGTTCTGTTTTACTCCCACAACACCCTCTGCTGCCCATTCAGATGAACAGCAGATTCTAATCTGATCCTCATCCAGCATCCAACCACACCAAACACAGTGTGCTGCACAGGAGAGTGCTTTATTATAAAAAAAATGACTGTACATAAAAAGAAAAAACAGATTATATATACAAAACGATAATAGAGATTATATTACTTGCAGATATTCTGCAAAAGGAACATTAAATTACAGATCACTTGCACATCTTATGACAAGGCCTTGCAATGCTTAACAATAAGTAGTCATTGTTCAGACAGCTCTATGTGAGTTACATTCTCACAGATATTTCGTCGGATTAAATAAATTAAAAAACACATTAAACAGCAGTTCGAGACGCTTCTAAAATCCAGAAACCGGAATCATCTTGATGTTTGTGCCATGCTAACAGTTACGAGCTCACATTCGTCAGTACTACATACTTAACTGGAGTCGTCCATGAAATCGATGCATTCAATTCAGCCAACCTGAAGCGGTCAAAGAAATAGAGCGACACAAATTCAGTTTTGCGTTGTCCCTCTACACACACGAATGACAAAAACGGATTTCTGCTACTTTCTGAAACAAATTCGAGTCTGTGGGCGATGTCAGAGACTGCTGCCCGCTCAGTGCAACATAATCAAGTTCACAATACTTCAGCAGTTTCAAACAA